GCCCGATCTTTAAAACCTTCTCCCTGCTGCCTAACTCATAAGGTTAATACATGAAACTCGGTCCCGTTTCAAGTCGGGTGCAGGTATACAAGAAGAGATATTTCTGTGTTCACGGCAAATTGTCATCACTGTCACCCCTGTGTCATCACTACCTCACCTGGTGATGATTTTACCTTCACGTCGGACCTTTGCATTCTGTCCTAAGGGGACATGTATAACTTACAACTGACCTTTGAACTAAGACCCGAAACTACGGGTAATTCGGTATCTTGCAAATCAAGAAAACCTCCCTGTATATTCAACCTCCTTGTGCAGACCGAGCTCAATCCCATGTAAATCAGAACAAAAAGGACTCAGTTGTTACGCGACTGTTATAAAAACCTCCCAATTGCCAAAGGTAAGAAAGTAGCTGGGAGTATGTAAGTTACACCTGCCGCCATGTTGAACCCGTGGTTCTCCCCCCCCCCCCCCCTTTCTAAACGAGCCGGAACACACCATGTCGAAATCTGTCATTATCGAATAACTCCTTTCTCGAGCTCAGCAAGAGCAATTGATATCACTGAACAATGACGACAGAAGCGCCTGTGCCGGGACAAGTGCTTCAGGAGAGTTCAGCTGTTCAGTACAACAAGCGGCACTCGCCATGCGGAACACGGGATAGTTCTTCTGTTACTGGGAAAGGGTCTATCTTCTGCCCCAATCTAGTTCAAACATTGACTTTAAGTAACGGCTGCACCTTGACCGATCTTTAGTTCAGCAGAAATACTAGGTTAGCCAAAACGCCAGGTTACAAGTCGAGCCGTTTTAAAAGTAGGTTGCCCTGCGGGCGTTATGTTTGACTTGCACTGATTCATCCAAACACAACGCAAGTGTTTGATCACTTGGATCATTAAACATCCTACAACTGAAGACTGTAGTTGAGTGACAATTTATAAAGTTATGACGTTAACGAAACTACCTCTAAGGACTACCTAGCTAGTTTCCGGAGAAAGAAAGTCTTTAAATTGTTAGATTATTACGTAAGAAACTTGAGACACAGTCTTACCTGCGGGTGCCAGCAGAATTTCTTAAGGTGCGTACAATGTAGGTCCCTCAGTTCCTTGAGAAACTCTGGACTTTCCGGTATGAAGGTTAACACCTTATAAAGTTCCAGGTAGGTGTTTTGGCCAGTTGTACCAACGGATTATTCCAAACAAACACAGGTGTTTACACAGTCAACAAAGCGCTGTTTACGGTTGGGACGTTAGTGGACTTGCTGCTTCAGGACCTTCCCTTCCACACGCCTCATTACCAGGTCTACCTGAACAATATTTGCGCTGACTTACCTGTACTGAATCACCCAAGGTCGGCTGGACAATACAGGTAGATCGCGCCGGGAGGTTATCGTGCACTTCTGATATCTGCAGTCGTGACGCCCGTGTGTTCTTAACTGTGACACCTGGACTGTTCGTACCTGTACAGTACCTGGAACTATTGACCCGCGGTCGGTTCGGCCATGAATAAACAAATTATCAAAGAGACGGAACCACTAAAAGTTACAGGGGTGTCTGGGCCGCCAACTTGTGACGCCCTACATACTAGTCTCCCTAGAAGGCTCTACGCAAGGAGGTTTAAAATCAAACCTTCTTGCTCTACGACAGGCATGTTCCCCTTTGATGGCATATCAATTTTATTTGTACTTTGTACTCTTTACGTACGGTGGGCCAGCACAAGAACCCGGGTACAAATAAATGTGAGGAAAAAACGCAGAAAAACAAAACGCCCATTCCTAGAGCCTGGTGATGAGGCTACTGTAGAACTGCTTATGCACCATATTTTTGTGCCGAATTCAGCAGTTTCATCACCCAAGGTGAGAGGAAACTGGAGAAAGGGGAAAGGAAAGTATGCAGGACACGGCCTCGGGAGCGTGATTATGTTTCCGCCGTGCCTCAGTGATATAAATACCTGTACAGTATCCGGCATGGGCATACATGTAGGACATTGCCGGACCATTGTTAATGTGATGACGTTTCGCAGGCCAGGTGAATGTAGCAAGGAAAATAAGGCATAATACAATGTTAGTAAAAATAGCACACAAATACGCACACGTGCACACTCAAGCACACACGCACGTGTACACACACACACACACACACACACACACACACACACACACACACACACACACACACACACACACACACACACACACACACACACACACACACACACACACACACACACACACACACACACACTGTGACACACACACTTATACATACACAGACACGAACACACTGTGAAAAATATACACACGTATGGATATTAGCTAACGTTAAACGTTCGCCTAAGTTCGATGCCAATACTTTTTAATTTACGGCACACATTTGTTCATTTTGCAGCTGCTTTGTACGATTTACAGTATGGTCGTACTTTGTACTTTTTTTTTTTTGAAACCGAAGAATTTAGAATTCATGCGCGCGCGGATGTCATCCATATAATCAAATCATTATGGCCCAATGGTTACTTTAGGCGACAACAGTCAGAATCCCACCTATCTTTGGTAAATCCCACTTTATTTTCCGCAGATACCGGTGTTACCGCTCCAACAAAAGCGGGATTTACCAAAAGCCAAATTCCGGGAAAGTCTTCTGAGTGCATCCACCGGTAAATGTCAAGGGTAAACCCTTAACAATAGCATTATGCAAATCTGCTCTGACAATAGCGATGGATTCCAGGCAAGTCTGTCTTGACAATAGCGATGGATGCCAGGCAAGTCTGTTAAATCTTGCCTAAAGCATCAAATGCCAAAAGCGACCGTTACCAGGCATACTTGGAAGTTATCACCTTTATGAAATCCCACTTCACCGGTTGTATTACTGCAGCGCTGTTTGGCGATCGAAAGCTGCGATAAGATTTTAGACCGCTAGGTGTCCCCACATGGCAACTCGTTACCGACTGATCGACTGTACTACAAATTAAACGTCATTTCATGGACATCGTTTGGAGCCAACAGTCAAGACGATCGTGAGGCCCAAGTAAAAGGGTCGGTGCTTCGCTTTGTTATTTCAACATAAACCTAGTGTTTGCTTTAACTGTAAAGAGAAACCGTTAGCCTATTGGAATTTGAAGTTTTGACGAATTTTTCCATTGCTGCCTGCCTTACAACTTAATATTAAACCACACGTCTGCTTGGGAATACTTCCAACACCTGGTGATCAAGAACATGCCACACACCTGTTACCTTCCGCGTAAGCCGTGAAAAACATGAGGCTAAATCTCTAATAAAACAGGTGAGAGAGTAAAGAACGCGCTTAATGTTTTACTTGAGGTCTTTGCCTGTTTTACAGAATGAGTTAAAGTTTCGATTCATGTATGTTTAATGTCGTTATGATCAAACAGAAGAATAAAATTGGCTCAAATTGAACATGGTGAAAAGTATTTGTTTTGCATCAAAAAAGAAAGTAAGCTGAAATTTATTACTGTTTTTCTTATACCGATGGCTTTTCCAAGGTACATGCACCACTTTCGGACACATACACTCAATAATAAAGCAATTTTAGCGATCAGAAAGAGAAAAGTATGTCTCAATTTAAAAACCCCTTACGAGCCTTTCGATTTCGCCAATTCCCAAAACGCCGAAATCCGGGAGTGAAACTTGTTTCCTTCGCGAGATACGGCCCGTTTTCTCACTTCCGGTTTGAGAGAGTGTCAAATTAGGCTCTCTTGGGGTTTATGATTTTCACTTGACGAATGCGATAAAATTGATATAAAACAACATTGCCAAGTGTTTTCACTCATTTCTTGCCATTTTTGTCAAACATTTTTAATGCTTTACCTGATTCAGTGGCTAAAACTCTCGTAGGTTGAAGTTTTATTTCGATTTTTTGGTCCGGTTACGGTCTTGTAGTTTGGTGAAGTGACATTTTCTCAGAGGCCGACTGAGGAAGCCAGGGAACCGGAAGTGCTAGTTTATTAGCCTCTACTAGGCTTCGGGAGGCGACTGGAAAGAGTAGAAATTGGCCAAATAGAGAGATAACATGCCAGGGGAGTTGGTCCGCCAGAGAGTACATTTTTCCGCATCCGAATTTCTACTGTTTCAGCCGCTTCCCGAAGCCAGGTAGAGGCTACCAGTTCATGTAGGGGCTATGTACTGAACTGACTGAATGATAAACGCCTCATTGTACACTTTAAAACTCTTAATTATCATTCTAAATAAATATACGAATGTGTCTGGACCCAGTTGTGGAAATCTCCACTGGTATTATGCCTAGTTTCTCCTACATTACAAGTCGATGTTACATGCCCGATTGTGTAGTGCATAATAGAGGAAAGCAACAACACAGGTTAAAGATGAATCACATATATTTATTCCTAATTCCTCGACTCAATATAAAAATCCTTTAATTGCTGGACAATTGACATCCAGCCAGAGATTTTATGCAAGCATTTCTACACAAGCTCACTACATGTACATGTAGTTTCTGCCATCATCTACAGGCGTGACCAAACTGTACTATTTGCCAAAGATTCTTGAAGAGCTTTCCTTACATGTAAGAAGTTACAGTTACTCCAATGCTAGATATGAAAGGGCTGAGAAATACAATTTCTGGGCCTCAAAGCTTGCAGAATTTCTTACTATAGGGAAATTACATGCATGCCTTCCTGGTAGGTGCAGGGCATATAAAGAAGACAAAAAAATTTTAATATGCAATTCAGTCCTTGAGCCAAATTAGTGGCTACATGACAGTACTCTTACCGGTTTGCTGGTGATTTTCAAACATAAACAAAACGAAATCTATACAAGTTGTATTCACTAACACAGAACTCTTCCTGCCTTTGAAAATGTTTGTTGAAAAGGAAAAATGTAAGAATAAACATGAAACATTACAATTGTGGCATAGACATACATGACATTGGTTTGTGATATTACTCATAATACACTAATCAAGATATATTTGTTTGTAACATAAACACCATACAGCACAAAAACAGCTGACAACATGCTAAAAAGCAAAATATAAAATATTTGCAAGAAGGTTTAATCGAAAGTTATAGCTAATATGTTTAATAAGAAAGTTTTTCAATTGATTAAAGTTTTAGCAGAGCAAAACAATATTCCTACATCAGCCTGAGCCTTAACTACATTACATAACATCCCCTTTTTCCACTATGTTATCTTACATGGTACATTCTTATATATACATAATTCACAAGGGGGAACCAGAAGCTCCAGTTTTGGCTCCTTAATTCGCATGGATAGAAAACCCCAGTGGACAAAACAACTGTTGCTACAGTGCTTTACTGTACATACGCCCCCCTCCCCCCATTTAACATACTGGGTAGAGTAAGCAGGAAATTTACTGTCAAGCTCTAATCTGACTAAGCAAAACTAGACATGCATCTAGAATGTCTGATTCTCTTTTCCAGAGTGGGAGTAGCCTTGTATCAATAACTTTCAGCATCAAACTGCTGAAAGAGACTGTGATGAAAAGGTGTTGAAACCAGGCTAGATTCTGAAGCTCAGCTCTCCTCTTTAGAGTCAGTTTTACTTTAAATTTTCCTACGATAAAAGCTTTGAGCCCATTTCTGTTTGCAAAGGTCAGAGTTCTGAGTTCTCTTTCCCAGAGTCAGAGTTCTGAGCTTAGTTCTCTTTCCCAGAGTCAGAGTTCTGAGCTTAGTTCTCTTCCCCAGAGTCAGAGTTCTGAGCTTAGTTCTCTTTCCCCAGAGTCAGAGTTCTGAGCTTAGCTCTCTTTCCCAGAGTCAACAGTTCTGAGCTCAGTTCTCTTTCCCAGAGTACTGAGCTCAGAGCTCCTTCCCGGGCTCAGTTCTCCTCCCCAGGGCTGTCTCAGCTCTCCTTCCCAGTGGTGAGTAGCCTGAGGGCCTTCTGCAGGTTGTCTACAGCGGTGGGGACGTCCTCGTACTGCAGGGCGCTGATTGCATAGCGGCACATCTTGGAGGCCTTGTTCATCTCGTCTGGGGTTAGGGAGACGCCACCGGCTGGAGGGGAGGGGACAGAGGGGTAGGAAATCACACATTTTTTTATTCATTTTTATTTATTTATTAACACTTTGAAAATGAATACCCACACAAGTAAATATAAAAGAAATAGTGCAATGGAGGCCAAAAGCTTAAGCCTCCCTTCCATCAACTTACTTAACAATTAAAATAAGTCAATTAAACAAAGAAAACCCAGGAAAGTGTCCCGTCATCTGTTATGTGTCCTGTGTCTGAGAACAAGACTAGTATAGCATCAAGTATATCACGCAACTAGATAAATTCTCTAAAGTTAGACATTTCAGATAGCATTTGCCATCTTTCGTGATGAGAACTTATCCAGTTCTATGATTTCTTTACTGTTACACTCTCAGTCAATTCAGTTGCATGATGCATTTTGTATTGCATATGAAAAAAATTACGATTATTGTGTACTTACATGCTGTGGGTTGTAGATAGTTGTCGTATGAAACGGCAGCCGGTTGAGACGGAACGACGTCACTCGGGGTCTCCGCAGGAGTGGTGGGCGGAGCATGAGCACCAGGAGGAACCTGATTGGCTGGAGGGGGAAACTGATTGACACCTGGTTGCTGCGGAGGCAAGTCCTTGAAGCCCATTGGTGGAGGCGCTTCAACTAAAGAGAAAAAAAAAATGCAGATTACTTTAAAATTTTATACATTCTGGGCAAATTTTAAAGTCGTTTGCACACATAACAAGACTTTTTATGTACTTAAAGACTCTTAACAAACATCTTCTACATTTGTAGCACAATACCCTAACACCCTATCTGTAGTCAGATCAACAATATCTCTCAAATGATACCTAACAACGATATCTAACAAAAAATAGAAATAAAGCAGTACGCCTGACACAATCACACGTGGAAAATCGTACAATGTACATCCAAAAAGTTGAGTGCAGAGCTTCCATCTTGGTGCCATTGAAACAATGAAAATGACTTGTAGTAGGTGTATATCATCACCATGGCAACCCATGATCACTCACCTCCGCCCTCCTCCCCACCGAACGGCCCCGCTATCGGTGTCTCTCCCTTCCGTAGACAGTCGTGAATATACGCAGACTTCCAGCGCGCATACTTCCTGTGTTTTAACAGCTGGGGGCAGAAGCATGGAAAAATTGATAATTAAAACATTTCTAGATCCTGTTATTACTTCCAAAATGGACATGAAAATGTTTCCAGATCCAGTTGTTGTGTCCAAAATGGGTATGCAAATTAGCCTGGTGTCCAAACTTGTTTTAACTGCCAAATTTCTTTAGTCCTCTCCGTATATTTGCAGAGAGGACAAAAAAGACTCGGTAGCTAAAACAGGTTTGGACACCAGGCTGTATGAAAATATCTCTAGCAGGACACGGTAGCTTGCTGATGCAAGGGTACACAACCGACGGCAACAAAAAACTTTGGAAGACAATGATCATGACTGTTCTCAAAGCCAGGCACCAACATGCAGTAAGAATGATGGTGATGATGATGTTAGTCACAAAAGGCATCATTCTTGATTAAGAGAAAAAGATACAACTTACATCCTCACTGATTTCTCCAAACACCTGCAGTACGTCAAACAACAAGCTAGCTGTGTAGAACGACTTCACCACGGTTCTGTACAACACAGGGGAAGAAAAATGTCATGATGAAAAATTCAGACATATCCTAAACAAGACCTTTTTTGTTGGAATATGAGACATCTGGTCAAGGTTATTGACTTGTGTGTTTTGAATGGAAGACTGTTTATTGTTTCAAAGACCTCCATTAGTGACAGTACATATGTTATACATGACTTCACTACTCTTCCACATAACATCAAGAATTATGACATATATATATATATACACATTAAATTTGGGTACACAATATATATACATTCTTCAATTTACCACCAGTACTGTATAATCCTGTTTGTAGTAAGAAGAAAAAAGAGCAAAAACAAGATGCTTTCCTATGAACAACAGGAAGCCGTTCAGCTCACTTGTTGAAGGTTCCTGCCCTGTCGTTGTTGTCAGCAAATGAGAACAGCCTCAGTGCGTAGTTCTCCACGTGCGCCTGTCCGACAACCTCGTTTGTGATCGCGTCCGTTCCCTGCAGCTGGGTCTTCATCTGGGACGAGTACACACAAAGAAATAATAAACAAAACAATACAAATAAACATCGCCTGTCTTGACACATTCTTTGCGGTTGCAAAATTTCAAATGTTCTGTGTCTTTTCACAGAAGTCATCAAAGAAACAGTTAAGTGATTCATTATTTCCATTATCATTCTACCAACATCTTCCTGTATTCCATGCATGAATACTTAAAGTGGTTTGAAGCTATAGAAAGTAATGAAGCATTCAGAATATGTAATTCAAACCAGTGGGCCTGAAAATAACATCTGCAGCCTCAAGCATGCAACAGGAAAGCAATTTCGAACCAGTTAAGCTCAGACATACTGTTTTTTTTTATTTGTTGTGGCAGATGTATGTAACCTGGCAGATACATGTACTAGTATATGGTAATGGAGGTAATGATGTACGTTAGGAGACGTCTATAATTTAGTATAAATCCATATTTCCTTACCTGCTCCAGCAGGTCCATAAGTTTGATCAGGAAGCCGCGACAGTCGTTACTCTTACTGTCGATCGCCATGGCAGTCTGCATCGAGTACAGACGGCCTGCAGGAACAAACAAAGAAACATGAAACAGACTTTCTTTTAAGAAATTTCCTTATTAATCCCATGAAGATTCTGGTAGAGGAAGGACTGGTGGTCAGATAAGAGATTGACAGCCATTTGCTCAACATCTTCTCTTCCATGCACATCAATACAACAGGTTGAAAATCAGTGGGAACAGTGGGAATGGCATTATACAAGCAATTTTTTTTGTTTACATCAATAATTGGTTGGCATTTGCACAACATTGGTATGTAGGCAAATCACCTACTAGTATATCTACCACCCGCTGTGTTCTTGACATACACAACTACATGTATATGTATGTACGTGCCAAGAAGCTGCCACAAGTCATCATGATTGCCAGCAGAAGAGTCTGGTGACCAGGTAAGGCTGCACCAGACTGGTTGGTTTTCATTTCTTGGTCACGCCCCCCCCCCTCCATTACGTTGCAACTTTGCAGCCTCACTAGGACACTCCCCTTGAAACATGGTACCCCCAGGACTGTAATTGTAACCCTGATACTTGCCGTACTGGAAATTATGCCGCTAGTTTTCTGGATCTACAGACGTACCCAGAGTTAAACTCACCTTGATCAAACACTGGATCGATCCAAGCTGTCAAGAAAACATGTTTTATGTTTCTTACGTTTTCCACCAAATACGCATGAAAAACTGAGAAAACCGCGGCTCTAGCCGTGTTAGAAATACTCACAATAGTATGCGATGACTGGATCTCGCTTTTCGTGGTCCGTGGCGGTCTTCAGGTGGTGTTGTACCGCTTTAAAGGCGGCAGGTAACGGAGGAAGCGGAGACCCGGCGGCCGCCATCTTGTCTGGGTCAGTCACAATCACATGATCCTGTCGTCATCATGTTTGTCGCACGGTGGCGCACTTTTTCTATCCAATAATAACGGCCTCTAGCATTGATAATGTTTGCCCTCTACTGCAGTGATACTTTACTGCCACTGAGAGACGCTTTTGATCCATGGCTTTTCTGAGCATTTAAAGATGTTTTAAACTTCAAGAGAAGTCAGGCAGGCAAGCGTCCTACTGACCCGATGGTACCGGGTGCACATCTGGAACAGTTTTCACGGCCTGTCACCAGAATAATCCATTGCTACTGGCTTACGCTCAAATTACGCTCAAGTAAAGATCCACAGTAAATCGAGGAACAACTTCTATACACTTGGGCCTCCTTCACAGTCGAGTTTGTGGCATAGCATCGTTAGTGCACTGATTGAACTATTAAGCAACTTTTAATTTTCTACTTGAGGGGGGTAATTATCAACAAATTGAAAAATTGACATCTTTGTTCAGTGCTGCAACCCCCGCATATTGTGCCATATGTTTGACCAATGGATTAAGGCAGGCTGTTATGTTTGAAAGTTTCTTGATGTCGATCGGAGACCCGTTGATAAGGCTAGGTTTAAACAATGGTGTTTCACTCGCTCACGTATTAAACTTTGTCAAGCAAATATGACATTTTGACCCCATAGTTAAGATTCTTTCTCACATCAAACAACCTCCCGACGCGAGGTTTTGACCAGGACCCATTGTTCGTGCGGCTTGTCGTCTAGAGAGGGACAAAGGTTAGATGAGTAGAAGTTGTTTGGATAACGATGTACCTTGTATGCGGCACGTGTTTTGTGTGGTATGTGCATGGCACGCCCTCCAGACCAGTGGAATCAATGGTTATATTGCCTTACTTCCTCTGTAATGTTTTAATATTGCTAATTGTCAAGATCTATAATAGTGCAAAATGTTACATGCAAAATCCTACAAAAGAAATTGCCTGGGAACACTGGAACGTTTTGGCGTTTGTCAAGTCATTACTTACTGACCTGACAATACATGATGATGACTGGTTTATTGTTGATTTAAAAACATTTTGCAGCCCGGAGGCTGAATTGCATGTTTCTTTACATCAGTCATTCAGTGCCCACCTTTTAACAACTTTAAAATACCATTCTAGCGAGGAATGTGTACATAAAATTGAATTGCGATCTCTACAGCATAAAAATATAGATTTAGATTTAGATTCATTCATGTAAAGAAAACAGCAGAAAGAGTGAGTGAGTGAGTGAGTGAGTGAGTGAGTGAGTGAGTGAGTGAGTGAGTGAGTGAGTGAGTGAGTGAGTGAGTGAGTTACTTGATTCCCGCCAATTATTCTTGTTCGATCTCAGTGGCCTTCGTAAGGTCAAGGTCAAGGGACAAAATACGAGGATACTGAAAAGCTTCTCAGAACTCCCAGTCTATATAATTGGAACGATAAGAATTAGACAGCTTGTCAAACTGTCCACAATATTTTCGCTGACTAGCTATACTTTCCCGTGCCAGTTACTTAACTGACACAAACAACTGAGACTGTTTTTGTCGCCTGCTTCTTGGAAGACCGAAGGAAACGTAACCTCAAGGACGAATGGGTCGGGTCACCTGTCTTCAAAACATGTTACACATGATCAAAATAGTGGTGGAAAACTGCCTAGTAGGCAGAACTGAAGCCACGGGATGTTAGGGTTTGATTTGGCCTTGTTTGTTTGAACTCTAATCTTGCCATCATCCATTCATCTTACACTGATAACGGGCAAAAACAACTCAGCCATCTGCCGATGATCTGGGCTGTAGTCTGGCTATACAGCCTCCGCAAAGAAGCTGTGACGAGGAGCGTGTGACGATAAGAAAGAATAGCTGGGGTCAGAAACTCAGAATACAGGATGCAAGTACGAGTATTGTTTGGAAAGGATGGGAGCTGAGAAGCACAATATTGCACTGCATGCACATAACATCTTCTAAGAGCCTTGGCAATACGGTAAGAAAGCAGACAGACGAGAGCTAGACTGGATGCCAGACCCATAGCGCGTTAGGCCCAGAGTTAGCCAGCGTGTGGAAGATCTAGAGGGGGGTTCGGTGCAATAATCACCTGGGACTGCGTGAGGGGGGTTGGGGGGGGGGTCGAGTGTGGTTACGCGCTGGCCAGTGCTATACCGTCTATACGATAACCAGCACAGTTGGTCGGCCCAGGGCTAGGGGCTGACTTGCCTTGATCCGTTATCAGTGGAAGACGGATGGATGGCTATGAGATTAGAGTTCAAACGGACAAGGCCAAAATAAACCATGTCATTCCGTGGACACTAAACACTGCTGCAGACCTGCCTACTGGACAGAATTCCACCCAAACAACATGTGACAGAGAACATTTCTCCGGATAAACGACAACCAGGGAGGCGAGGTGACAGGTCGGCGAGGTGGGCGGATGACAGTTCAAGCTCGTTTGTCAACTGGAGCTCTCAAGTGAACTCCATCCATGCCAAGCAGATGTTAGGATGGAAAACCGCAACTTTTACTAGCTGCCTCGTTATTTTGGGATGGCCGTTCGTCAGAAAAGCAACAAAAACTAGCAATCCTAGTTCTAAGTTCAGACTTTGTTACAATGGAAGCAAATTCATATTATCAGCTGATAAACTGGCCAGGGCCTTTTCAAGTTATCATATAAGATCATATAAGATATATGTGATTCTGATTGTACTGCAGGATATCAGCAGTGTTTTGCCATGTACCACAAAAGTGGTTAGTAACATTACGGACATCGATATCGTTCAGTATAATGTCCTTGGCAACATAAGAGGAGCCAGGGGCAGTCCCTGACCCGAGAATATTGGCAGATTTTATATATCCAAACATCAATGCACACAGGAAGAGCCATAAACTACAAGATGTCGACGTCAAACAAAAACACAAAAAAGTGTTTTCTGCGGTAAAGTTATTTTGTTTATTCTGTGAATTGTTGGATAAAGCTTCCAGAGAACACAGCACATGTCTGTATTGTTCCCTCCCATCACACACAATGGCTCAATGACAGGGACACAATGGACGGACCATAAGTTACTAATTACGGGCAACGTTCATCAGCTATTTGTCAAATGTCTCCCTCCCTGCCCACCACGGCTCGTACGCTTACAAACACCTCGTCTTACGCCACGAAATTCACGCCGGACATTTAAAAAAAACAGGCGCCATTCAGAAATTTTCCAAAGATGAGAGTCGCTCCAGTGGTTTTGCTGCTTTTCTCGGTTTCGTGTTCTTTCTGTGCGGGAGACGAGGTGGTCGTACCTACGACGTACGGGGACGTGCGCGGCTTCGAGCTGAGGAACGTCCGCGCCTTCTTCGGGATCCCCTACGCCAGGCCGCCTCTGGGAGGCCTTCGGTTCAAGGAGCCCCTGCCCCCGAGCAGCTGGACGGGCGTACGCGATGCGACAAAGTTCGGGCCCGACTGCCCACAGAAGGCGTGGTTCCTCATGGCCATCTTCAACAGAACTCACCAAATATCAGAGGACTGTTTGTACCTGAACGTATATTCTCCAAATGTAAGTACTAACTATTGTACGATTCACTGGTGCGGTTTTCCCTGTATGTGTAACAGGTGTACATGGATACTAATTCGTCAACATTTTGAGGTGTGCTTTCTCTTTGTTTAACTTTTGAGCCATCATCTATCAGAATTGCTAAGCATCCATTGTGATGCTGTTGATATGCGCATCACTTATCCATTTTCCAATGTTGATTTTGATGTGTATATATAGCTTACAAAAAGTCAACATGTTTTGCGTCAGGTGTTTTAGTCTTCTGGCCAATGGGGTACTGTTTTGACTTTTGACTCCCCTGAGGGGGGGGCACTGGATGTGAGTCCCGCTTGGTTCAAAAGTATGACAAATCTTTAGTTTTAATATACAAAATACGGAAAAATCGTAACATAGACGATAGAAGATAGACAGATGGCTGACAAGGAAAGTTTAGTAATGTGGGACGAAGTCTTCAAAATGTATGCGTTCTTGGTGGGGATCCGGAGATACAGTTCCGTAATTTTCTACACTAGGAGAAGAGTATATGAGATTTAAGGTAGTAACAATCCGCACGGAGCAGAGAAAGCGCATTGGTAGGCCTTTGTTGATTGCTAGGAGTTCATCACAAGGAATCATAGAAACCGTGACAGGAGAACTAAACACCCATCAGACGTGTTGTGTTGTTATGATGGCCTTGGGGGACGTTCCCCAGAAACCCCCGGGAGGACGGTGTGTGTACCAGGTAAACTTGCTGACAGGTGACCTACTGATCAACCCTTCGTCCTTGCGTTTTCCTGCAGTCTTCCAAGAAACAGCGATGTTTGTCACTTCTTAATAAACAAAAGTGGGGTGATCTGGGGTCACCAAAAACATCCGAGGGTTTGACAACATCAATCTCCAAGCAGATGTTGAGAGGGGGTCGTAACTTTCCTAAATTTCCCTTAGTGGTGTTAAAGTTATCGCTGACAAACGAGAAAAGTCAGAGAATGTTACTTGCTCTGATCCTGCCTCTTGCCATACCTGGAAGCCAGGCTATGACAAGGGCTACACAAGCCAGTCCCTAAGATCCAGGGCCAATATTGGGGCGGGAAAAGTTTCTATATTGGCCCTGGAGCCCGCACAGGCCCTGGTGACAGTCTGACTTCTATTTTTAAGTTTGATATACTAGTATACGTAGGTAGTAGTTTTGTATTGTAACTTGTATGTAAGGTGTTGCTATTGCTTTATGGCCGGTAGTGGTAGTCCGGAATTGGACTGTCCGGATTGACTTTGCCGTTCTGTTGTACAGAAGCCAGCAGATAGCGGTCTCCACCCGGTGCTGGTGGTGATCCATGGCGGGTCGTACCGGAGAGGGTCCGGCCGGGAGTATGACGGCGCCGTGCTGGCAGAGCGGGGCACGGTCGTGGTCACCCTCAACTTCAGACTGGGGGCGCTCGGTAACATTCACACACTTCTGTCCTGCTTGTATCTTGTGTTTTAACAAATGACCTTGTGCCTTCACCAATGACCCTGTACTCTAACCGTTAGCCTTATGCGTTGACCTTGACAAATGACATTACAATCATAATCATGCCAGCTCCAACGATCGAAGTACCATGGGAGATGCCGAATGTACTGGTACACAGATGGGCGCTGCCTAAACTATCCTGACTCAGCTTTCAATTTATATACCAGACCTGTGTACATTGTTATTCTCATTACCTGCAATACAACTTGACAAACGCCACACAGTTGCTCAAGAAGTTCATATGGTTTCAGCCATCAGTGCACATCCCCTTGTATCGTTATAACCTGTCATGATTATAAAAAAATAAGAAACAACAAGACCATGTAGATCAGAATGCATCAATTGCCAATTAAACACGTAACATTCATGAAAACACTGAGCTCTCCACCCAGGGCGAACTTTGACCCACTCTAGACGACCGGCCGTACGAACAATGGGCCCTGCGTCGGGAGGTTGTTTGATGTGAGAAAGAGGCTTAGCAGCAGGGTCAGAATATCAAATTTACTCGGCAACGTTTGATACGAGAGCAGGTAAAACACCATTGTTTGATTCTAGCGTTATCAGGATGTCGCCTTACCTGAGCTGATTGCCGCTACCTGTGCTCAGGTTGCCGTCTCTCATCTTCAAGTATATATTACGTAGATGCAGGATGCGGGTCAAAGGAAGCAAATTAACACTGCATACCGTGTTGTATTACAACAAATATTCAGGTTGAAGCTGAATCTTGGCATACAGACTTTATGTACATAGAAAGTACTTTGTGAAATAAAAGATTGCTGAAACATTACGGTTCCAGACAAGTAGTCGCTTGTAGGACGCATCAACACCTTTAAATTGAGCTTACCAAAGTCGGGCTCCACTGTATAATAAAAAGTGCACATTGCCAAATAATAATCAGTGCTCTCCACTAAATAACGAAAGGATGTCCTTATAACTGATGCCGGACGTCTAGTTACTCTGTGTTCTTTCTAGGATGGCTCAGCACAGAGGATGAGAGCGCCTTGGGGAACTTTGGGCTACTGGACCAGATTGAGGCTCTGAAGTGGGTTCAGATGAACATTAAGCACTTCGGCGGGGACCCCGACAGGGTGACTATTATGGGATGTGCTGCCGGTGCCTCCAGCGCTGCCCTGCACCTGACGTCAATCTACAGCGCAGGTTAGTGACGTCAGCGATAAGCGCAGGTCGGACCGTCTTTTTATGACGGGGAAGAAAAATGATCAACAAAACGATAGACGTCAAGGGCAATGACACATACATTTAAGGGCAAATATAAGATATAATTGTGGACATAATGTATGACTTATCTTAACTTATCCACTTTTTAGGTCTGTTCCACGGAATGATCCTGAGCAGTGGATCTCTGGTAAACCCCTGGACAGTCCTCCTGCCCCCATACAGACCCTATGACCATGCTGCGGACTTGGCGGAGAAACTTGGATGTCCGACAGAGGTGGGGACCTCAAATCGCCTCATCTGACATAATTGATACGATATAGAACTCTTAACAGTTATCTGGTAGAAACATGAACGACCTCTTTGGCACTAGTACCACTACATTACTGATACTCCAGTAGCTCAGCCAGGGTTCGGGCTGGGATCTGCAATACCTGTATGATCTTCAACTTCTCAAAGTCTCCTTCTTACGTGCATCTTCTTCTCTAACACGGTACTGTTTTTCAGTCCACAGAGGACCTGGTGAACTGCCTGCGTCAGAAGACGGCAGAAGAGCTGGTGGAGACAAGCGTGGAGGTGAGTCAGGCAAACTATAACGATAACAAGATAATAAAATACAGCTGAAAGATGGTAAGTCTTTATAGCAGCATCACAAAATGGGTTGGGAAGATACGAATGAAAAATTAACCTAACGGCTGACTTTTTATACCAGAATAGATCTTGCCTGGCTTTGTTAGATCTCTGTCTTAGCGCTGTTTGGATGATATTAGATACGCTCAAGGTCCTCGAACTGTTTTGATGACGTAGGATGTTTCTGTCCAATCAGGGCCCTCCGATGATCTCCGTGTGGGCCCCGGTGGTTGACGGGCCGGGCGGGGTGATCCCGGACAGTCCCACGAAGCTTCTGGCGAAGGGAGCCTTCAGCAAGGTGCCTCTGCTAATGGGGACCGCCAGTAAAGAGATGTCCTACATCTTTGGTACGGGAATTAATGACAAAACGATCATAAGCAAGTAGTAAACACTGTTCTGTTCATATCATATACTGGCCAATAAAGACATATCCTGAATCTTTGGTAAGGGGCTGAACGACAAAACAACCGTAAGTCACTGTCTCCGTTAATAGAAACGACCGGTAAAGAGATGCCCTATAGATTGTTCTTTGGTAAGAGACCTGAAGGAAAAGTATCCGTCCATTGCTCTTTATTCCTCGCTTTCATCTTCCATCGGTGCATTTTTTTGTCAAGAAACTCTATCAATCCGTAGTTTGAAATAGAATCAGCATCAGAATGGTGGTTTTTACTGTTTCCCCCCCAGCTGATGTGAAGGGGATCGAGTTCGGGGTGAGTTCAGACATGGTGGATGAGATGCGGTCCCGGTGGGTGGAGCGGTACCCTTCCCGGGCACGGAGGTACATCAAGGACATCATCAGCTTCGAGTACACCGACTTCAAGAACATGCACGACCCGGCAGCACTGAGGGACAATTACATCAAGGTGACTGGGCGTTGGCAAAGGATTTTTCTTATATATTTGAGTGGTTTTGTTTGTAAAAAAACTGTTAATGGAATAGAGATAAAACAGGCAAATCGCTGACGAGGCAAATAGACGATTGAATACCATTCAAGTTGCAGGAGTCTGCAATAAAGATAACTTGTAAAATTTTACCCACCCAGTTTAAGACGGACTATGGGTACCACTCACCCATGCTGCACCAGGCCAATGCCCACTCCGGCTCAGGCGCACCCACCTGGGTCTACGTGCTCGACTACCGCTCCGAGAACAACCCACGGCCGAAATGGATGGGTGAGTCAGTTTGGACATTGACGAATTATCATTAGGAGCTTTCTATGCCCGAGTGCCAATCGTACTGTCAGTTAGAGCTGTTAGTTCTCAAACACACTGAGACTTGTACACATCCTTCGGTTCAGTCGACCGGTTATCGACGGTTAGACACAGGCTAAGCAAGAGAGATATCAGACTGTTGAAGTGATGACCACGAGACTAACCCAGGTATCTCCCACCTCCCACTACAGGAACGATGCAGGCGGATGACCAGGTGTTTATTTTCGGGCCGGGGACGCTGATGTTGAACGACAGATTCCGTCTGACGGACAGAGACAGGGAGGTCACCGACATGATGCGGACATTCGTGACCAACTTCGTGCGGTTTGGGTGAGGAAAATATGTATGGTCTTATGGTTAGCCCTAGCCTAATAACCATGCAATTCTAACTTTAGTTTGCTCCTCTGTCTCTGATCACTTCCTTACTGGGAGAGAACTACAGCTAGAATAGGCTGGCCTTGGAAACGAAAATTAAAGTAAAAATAGGCGTGTATCCCTGGCTGGACATTGTTACCATGTATCCTTGGCTGCGTCACTGACCTTGAGCAAGAGACAACTTTGGCGTTAACACCAACTTATAAAGGAGACAAAGTGTAATTTTGTGTCCACTTCGGTCTAAATGTTTATCATACTAGTAGCTTTATCCTTTTATTCTGTGTCGCCTCTCTTTATCGTTAACGTTATACCCTGTACATTGTCTTCCTCCCACCCAGGAACCCCTCCCCTCAGAGCCAGCCACTAGAGTGGAAGATGTTCCACGGAGACCAGCAGAGCTACCTGCAGGTCAGGAAGCCGGGAAAGACCCGCATGAAGGACTACTTCAAGACCAAAGTGACGGCCCTGTGGACGTCCTACGTGCCTGAGACCGTCCGCCGCGTCTATAACGTGTCGGCGGACGACATCAACCCGTTCGGGGGGTCCGTGTAGGACTGGGACGTACTAAATGTTACAGTCTACAACTATGTAGGAGGGGGGGGGGGAGATATACTGTTAGAAAAGTGGGGGAAATGTTACTGTTAGAAATGTGAAAAGTGGGAAAGCCAGTTTTCCACTGTGTGTCACTGTGTGACAGACCATAGCTGGTAGAAAATGTAAAATGTAGATTGACTAGTTTTCACTTGTACCTGATGTATGACAAAGTTGTATCCAGAGATGAAAGACCACATTGTGAACTGTGTACTGCTTCAGAGATGGGGAATGGGTACTTGTTTCTAAGTGTGACTAAGTTAGAAACTATAGGATTCGCACACACACTCCAGCAACTTATCTGATGAACCAAAATGACAGCCTGGTATAGATGTGTACGCACAACAGGGCATTGGCATGGATACTTGTTACCAATTATATCTTCAACGGGGCAAATAAAATTATTAACCATGGCGACTGATTAACATCATGTCATATTTACACGAAAGAGAGTGCTTTTGTTAAGTCTGTACCACGACCTGGAAGTACTTAGTATTAATTTTATCGAGTCAAAATGTGGAAATTGTTGGTAGCAACAGTTGCAAATAAACTTTCACCTCGAATTACCTATCTATGGTAGTAAGATTGATGAAAAGTTATGTATCCCCATGATAAGGGACCCCTTTAGCTGTTAATCTAACCACATGCAGGCGTGTCTCAGAGGGCACAGTTATCTGACAGGGCGCCGATAGATCCCATCCGTAGTCAGACGTTATCTTCGCCTTGCGACCAAACTGTTGCCAGGGCCAACACAGGCCAGCTCTTCGGCACCAGGTCCAACTTACCCCCAAGGAAATTTGGACTCAGCTCAGTCCTGAAAGGCCCTCAGTAAGAACTGATTCACGCAGACAAAATCACCAGGGTGGGTCTAGGCCGAGAAAATCCAGACTGGTGGTCAGACGTCAGCTAGTCTGTGACGTTATTTGTGCTTGTCAGATGTACTGGTACTATTAAAAAGCATTTCATGGTCCGCCGTGATTGTATTTGAATAGACGGAATTTGCCCCGTTATCGAGAGTATCCTATTTCGGGTGTTATTCGCTTGGCGATTGTTAGTTAGCAAATAACCAAAGGTCTCCGGCATACCAAAATGTGGAATGAGACGTGGGTTCAAGGGGGAATAGCCTGGATGCCAGACTGTTGTTAGAGGCTAACCAGAGGCTACTGATTTAATCTAACTGAGGGACACCTGAGGTAGATTCTCCTTGGGGACATCTCGGGTCCTGAAGCCGATGAGCTGACCGACTTGTGTGGGCCCTGGCAACAGCCAGGCTACAAATGGAGAAGCTTTAGCGACATCAACTACAGGTGGTTTCCACCACATGGTCACATAATGCTCGGTGCCACTCCGCTGAGGCCGGGTTCGAAAGTCCTTCGCTATTAAACATCAGCAGATCGGACCACGCTCTCTCGTTTAAAGGTTGTTCAAACACACCTCAAGGAGACAGGAACCATTACAAAACGTTCAGGAAAACAACAACAACGGAAAACAGGCGCAAAACATGTCAGATCTGTCCATCTGTTTGGACATGATGTTTTTTCCGGTGTGAGTGACGACCGCGCATCTGGTCACGTATAAACATGTTATGTTTAGATGTGATCTGGCACCCTGCCTAGCGCCGGGTCACACAGCTCAGCTGAACTAAGCACATTTATCTAATCTCGGCTTCCGATAACACAACTCACAAGCAAACAAACCATCCGATTGGACGAACCACAGTCGAACTGTACGGCACAGCAACATTTGACCAATCCCTGGCCCCGTCCCAAGAAGTTACCACACAGCAACACGCGAGAAAACCAATCAGTGCAATCAGCTGATCTAGTCACTTTGGCCATTCTCCTTCGCCCAGCTGGTTTGGAAAGATGAAGGCTCTCGGTGCTCTGTGTCTCTTCGTGCTGGTCTCCTCCTGTCTTAGCGAGGAAGAAGACAAGTTCAGGGTTAAGACGAAGTATGGCGACGTCCACGGGTTTGAGATAGAGACGAAAGCAGACAAGCACGTCCACGCGTGGCTCGGGATCCCGTACGCCGAGCCGCCGGTGGGCGAGCTGCGGTTCACCGAGGCCCGCCCGCCCAAGAAGTGGGACGACGTCCGCGACGCCACGCAGTACGCCGCCGACTGCCCACAGGACAAGGAGCAGCTGGAGAGGATCATGAATGGGACACACGCCATGTCCGAGGACTGTCTGTACCTCAACATCTACGCACCAGAGGTAAGTCTGGCTTCTTAAGAAAACGTCCTTACCTCGCCTGTTTGTAACCTCGAGTCGGCGAAGAATTTTGGCGTTACAAAACGCCATGTATGCACGATAAACCAAACGTGCACAGTTTCTGTGGTGTCACGACTGTACATCAAGTTTGGATCGGCTGGACAGAAGCAAATAGGAAAGAAAATATGAGTCGGTGTGAACTTATGCTAGGTCATTTCAAGGTCACATCAGCCTCTGTCTCCATGCAGATGTAACAGCAGGTAATGACGACAGAATGATGATGGAAACTGTCAATAAAACGTACCAGCCGACCGTCTTGTGCGTAACTTGTGATCAGGTCTGCTAACCTAACGTTGCGGTTACGCAAAAAATCATACGTGTCTTTGGCTGTCGAAATTAAAGGGCAAACGGTGCCTGCACAAACAAACCATGTCAGATAACTTTCACGGGCAGATTATTCATCCATGAAGGAGTTTTCGATATAACGCAGTTCCTCTCCCCCTCCAACGTGAATAGATTTTTCCAGAAATTTTTCTCGGCATTGCAAAAAAAAAAAAATCCGATTGTTGACGTTGAGACCAAACTGCTCCGCGCATGCCCCTGATCAAAGGTCGTTTTCTACCCCGGGCTCTGATTGACGGCGCGGCGATAAGAACAAGGTTACAAAAGTGTCAACACCTCCAGAACACCGGCACCACCTGCCAATCATATAACTCTCCAGTTTTCTCCTGTTCAGATGACCAAATGATTTTTAACATAGTTAAAAGTGTACTCAAATGGTGACCCAGCACAATCCAAAGTTTGTTTCATCTATTTGTGCTTATTGGCGTACCTTACAACATATTTGAAATTGAACCTTAGTTGATGCAATGTGTATTCTTGTGAAGACGAAACAAAACGTTCACATAACACGACACAACGCAAGACTTTCTTTGCCTTGCTCTGCTTCTTGAAGGTTTTTGACTTCAGAAAACAATTTGCTTGGCAACAATACATCCTAGCGCCAGTATCGCAGAAAGCTCTAAGGAAGACATCTAAACACTTCAGTAAGGACATCTAAGTCTTGAGTGAGTGACAAAATCAATGAATAGATTTACTGACTAATTGAACGGACCTGTTTGATGTGACAGGACCCCGAGAAAGGCCATCGGCACCCGGTGGTCGTGGTGTTCCCGGGCGGCGCGTACGACTGGGGGACGGTCCGGGCGTTCGACGGCACCGGCCTGGCCGAGGAGGAGGTGGTGGTGGTCACGGTCAACTACAGAATGGGAGTCTTCGGTAAGCACCTTCATATCAGCAGCGTCCTTCCACAGGCGTTACAAATACTGCTCGTCTCATTTGCAGGCTGAATGTAAAATAGTCGACATCGGCCTGAAAAGAGCTATATAATTTGCCAGGAGAGTTGGCCGGCCATAGAAAGAAGGACCAGTTTTGTCTGCACTATGGTCGGCTAACTCCCCTGGCCCTTTTTAGACC